CCCTCTGTGCCCGTCTCTGATCCTCAGACCGAGATGGGCCAGGACTCCTGTGTTGTTCAGGCTCAGACCTGGACCTTCGTGGAGCACCGCCATTGTGTGCAACGAAGCAACAGCCTGACCTGCTGCTGCGTAAGCCCTGCCATTCAAGCTAGATGTATCCTGAAGGGGCTTAGATGGTCAGGAGGGAGTCTTAAGAGAGGATGCCTTACCATAGAGAGATAGCTAGCCAGCGTCTCTTCTACGGTGACATCTTCTCATAGCTGTTTTCGCGGATCACCTAGACGTTCGCATAACTCGTATGCTGGAATCGATGGATGCGTAAGGAAAATGGCCTCTTCCATTCCTTCTCGATCTCTGTATGGAGATCAGAAAGAAAGGAAGGCTCACCTGAGCTGGAGGGTTACGGCCAGAAAGATAGCGCTCATCGAGACGACCTTGCTACGTCACTTTCTTGGCCCGCTTCCATGGCAAGTCAAGCCTCGCTGTGGCGTGATCCATAACTTCCAAAAACTCATCATATGCAGGGCAGCAGGATTGGGAAGGCTCAGCTTCTTTGTCCTCCTCAGACATCTCCTGCTCTTCCTGGGTCGAACTCAGCAGAGCACTGGCCCCTGGATCAGATGACTTGCTAGTGCTCACCATAATGAAGGAATAAAGATCGCTCTTACCACGGAAATACATGCTTCAAACAAAATGGTCAGTGAAGACGAAGAAGTGGATGATGTGCTCTCCCGGCGCCTATTTATACTATAGTCGCACTGGTAGTGATGTCATGGGCTGTCGCCGGCCAACGTGTTGTTGATGTGTTTTTTTAAATGTATGCTTCAGACACGGGTCACGACGAGGCATCCCCCATAGCGACCCCTAGAGGACGCAGTTCGAAGTTCCCTTGGAAGGGAACTCAGCTTTGCCATCACAGCAATAAATTACATTCTAAAATATATTAACATAGAAACTTATTACTTAAAAGTTATTTTAAATTGTCACAATATTAGTGTTTTGCTGTTTGACCAAATAAATGCAGCCTTGGTGAGCATAAGAGACTTCTTTCAGAAACATTAAGAAATCTTACCAATCCCAATTGTTTGAATGAGTGTGCGTTAATGATTTGTTTCTTACTCAACAGCCGTGGTAACTCTCCTTGATGAGGGATCTATTAGTGAACAATCTAGTTCTGAAGGACACTGTACGAAGCCCTCATTCAAGAGTATCTACTACACCACTCTGGAGTTGTTCAAATTTACGATTGGCATGGGAGATCTGGAGTTCACAGATCAGTATCAGTATATAGAGGTCTTCTATGTGCTGCTAATTCTGTATATAGTGATGACTTACATTTTGATGCTGAACATGCTGATCGCTCTGATGAATCAAAGAGTGGAGGAGATGTCTGTAGAGAGCACCAGCATCTGGAAACTACAGGTGAAATCAAAGGCAAAGTTAAAGCTGTCTACCAATTTTTGCAATAAACATACAATGTAAATCCTTTAAATGATTCAGTGGGCAAAATGGCTGTAATGGTTTGGCATTTTTGTTTGTTATTCATTGTTATTCACAGCGTGCAATCACCACCTTGGACATGGAGTGGATTCTTCCCCACTGTCTGAAGACAAGGCTGCGCTCCGGGGAAGAGAAGGATCTAGGCGGGGAGCAGGAGCCTGATCGACGCTGGTGTTTCAGGTGACCCTGCTGGCTTTCACCCGAAACCACAAGATCTAAAGTCTGCATTTGCCTCCTATTTAAAAATGGATGATTCATTTTGAAAAGAGGATATTAGCATGCATACACAAACATTATACATAATAATGCACACTTACCCTGTATTGATCTGTGTTTACTGTCAAACACACTTAAGTGAAACCATGAGCAATAATTGAAGCATGGGTCCTCTTTCTTTCAGTGTGGAGGAAGTCAACTGGAACCAATGGAACAGAAACCTGGGTGTAGTTACCGAGGATCCTGGGAAATGCATGCCTGTACCTTCCCCAACTAAACTTCAGAGAGGTAGTCAGTGTTAAATGTGCGTGTGTGTGTGTGTGTGTGTGTTATTTTAATCTTACATCATATAATTTGTATTGGTTGCAGAGCCCAGCCGGCGTGGACTCCTGCAAACGTTCAGTAAACGTTGGACACAGAGACCACAACGCAGAGATGTACAGGAGCTGAGTCCTCTAGCTGAGGCCTCTAGCTCCGTATAATGATGCATTTATAATCTGTAATCTATTGCAATGTATTTTACAATTCCCTTTCAGTCCAACTGGTGTAGGAAAAATTACATATTATGACTGGTTTAAAACTTGAAAAATAAATAAATAAATAAATAAAGAGTTGACACATATATTGGTGACGTAAAAATGTGCTAGATAATGAGAATGACCCTTTAATAATAATAATAATAATAATAATAAT